TCCGGCGAGGTTTCCGGCCACCGGCAGTGAAGAAGATGACCGGAGTGATCCAGTGTGATGCGGCGCATTGTAGGTTAGTGCGCGCGTGCATCCTGGCCATTGGTAGAGTCTGATTGATCCGGTGCATCGCAGTCCATGTTACTGCAGTACACCCGGATCAAGAACCTTTGGATTAGGTAGATTCATCCAGTGTAGCGCGCCCATAGCAAGACCATGCAACCAACGAATCAGCAAGTGCTGCGTCATCAGGATGCATTAGTGCGCGCGTGGCAGCGCGTGCGCGCGCGTGGGAGGTTCTAGACGCGCGTGAAGGCGCGTGTAAGCGTGTGCGCGTGTGAGAAAAGTGGCGGCGCGTGTGGGAAGCTCTGGGAGGCGCGTGGGGGCGCGTGAGGGACCCCTACAGTTACTGGAAAAGTCCAGACTACCCCTAGGGACTGCTTTGTAAATTCCAGAACCTTAAACGTGGATTTTTAGGTACTGTGTTGGTATTTACGGGTTTAACGGGCCACGAAATTATTATTTTAATACCCGGTAATTATTCTTATGGCCGATTAATCTTTTCTAAGCATTTATTGGCTCGTTTACAGTACGGTTATTAATGTGATTTATTTAATGACATTGTTAAATATAAATAGTGTTAATATCTTATTAAATGGCATCAAACATTACTGTTAAATTAAATAATGCCATGGTTTTAGTCATATAAATTATCCATGATATCTTATGGGATGTTTATACTGCTAAATGATATATACACCATGATTATTATGCTGTGTGCATTTCAGGAAATAAATGGACTGTTTAATTATGTCACATTTATATTATATGGATGTGTTGTCATATAGAACCATATGAGCTGGCTAATAAGTTTGGACTCATTTATACCTTATGCATTCGTTGCGATAGACAGATGTGTGGCTGTCGGGGTATATGGTTTAATATTATTGGCATGTGTTGCCTAATTGACATGCTCAGTATATTTAGTAATATTATTGGCATGTATTGCCTAATTTATATGCTCAGTATATTCATCAGTACTTTGAGAGGTGTTATCACTGTGTAGTTCGTTATAGTCTGTGTTGTCAGTACCGTGCATCATGTATAATAGCTGATTTCCCGGGTAGGGAAAGGCGACACTTAACCACCTAGTGTGAGTCTAAGTGATCACCGTCTATTCTGGTTGAGGTCATGTTATACATTGGATAGTTCCCTTAGGATGTATACAGATATAGTATTCATCCGGATATAATGATAAATTTATTTGATTCTCTGAGTTGGGTCATAGTAGAGAGGACTTGCTCGTGGGGTTGACCCACCATTGTTGTTATTTCAGGATATGATCAGTACCCGTTCCAAGGTTGAGGTTAGCAGTGTGGGACCACCATCCGAACTCATTTACTCTTACGATCCAGTTTAGGGTAGAAGTTTTACGTATTACTTCAGTTTCAGTTTTTATTTACTTTTGACGTTGAACTCTCAGGTATATATTTAGGGATCCTTGACATAGGATTTCCAAGTTGTAATGGAGTACTGTATTTAAATAAAGGATGGATGGATGTTGTATTATTTAGTGTTCCTTTCCTGTCTAAATTCTTTTATTATCATCATTTTGTATTCCATGCTTGTATATTGCCAATTGTTTTTTGATATCCCTCGTTTTCGTGTATAAGCCTAATCAACTTATGCGTGGAAAATGTTGGGGGTGTCACAGTTATAATCTGAAGGAAGGGTTGGAGAACCCTATTCAAGTATCAAAACACAGAGAGATACAGAGTGAGGTTTTGAGAGAACAGAGCAAGTTTGTGAGCTTTTCGACTGAAGCTTCAAGGTCAGACCTAGGAGAAGGGAAGAACAGAAGTAATGGGAGGCTAAGCAGTATTTCAGTGTGGCCAGAACAGAGGAAAGCAGACCAACAATTACAGAGGCAAGTTCTGATCTTCCTTCTTCCCTCTGGCTTGTGTTCTGTGCACCTAGGTAGCCTCTAGGATTTAACAAATCATTAACTGGAACTTCATATTATTGTATGCTATATTAATGGTATGTTTGTGTGGAAATTAAAACTGATATAATTTTTGCATGACTGTTTCCAGTTCCGTTCTTTAAAGCATGATAGTTTTATTGTATTTGGTGTACTGTACTTGTTTTTGTTTACTGTAAACAAACTATGGGGATGTTAATGGGATGTTATAGGACTCCTAAGTTCAGGGGTAATGAAGGACAGAGGGGATGGATTAGAACTGATCCTACCAATTAGTTTCAGTATTGTAATTTAATCATCTTAGTTTAATGGCTTTGTTTAAATCTCTGCAATTGATTTCAAATATTGTAACAAACTAATGGGATGCTACTGGATGTTAATTAAACTCCCAAGATCAGATTTAAATACCAATTGAGTGTTAGGAATAGACCAGAGATGAAGAGAACGGATTGAAACAGAGCAGGAACGGATTGAAGCTTGCAGAGGGGGAAAGAGACGGCTTCACGGAGGAGAGAGACGTCTCCCACCAACCATAGAGCCGGCTCCAAGGATCCATGGAGCCGGCTCCATGCATAAAAAAAAGGCTCTAAGAGCCTGCTCCTTAGAAACTTTGAGCAGGCTCTTTTCTAAAATTCATTTTTGATTTATTTTTAAGGCGTAAAAACTTTACTGTTGGAGCACTTGGGTTCATGAACAGTTTTGAAACATTAATGGGGGTTTTCAATAATTATTCTAAGATGTAATTAAGGTCTTGAATGGCATAAAATACCCTCTTTATATTAATGGAATTAATAGTGTGCTATTCAACCCCTACGCGTCGGTTAACGGCTGGAAGGAAATTAATTGTCTAGTTTTAATGTGACAATTTAAGGTGTTATATAATGATTCTAAATTAAGTTTAAAAGCATAGTTAAGTCTTTTAAATTAATAGATTGGACTTAGGGCATAGTGCATGGCTCTGGCTAAACGATAAAACAGAATATAAGTATACAACTTAGTACCCTGTTGTTGGATGGAAGGAATTAAATTGCTTAAATTAATTTAGTAATTTATTGGACTATAATATGATTATAGAATTTATTCTAAATGCATGATAGAATCATCGGTATATTAGAGGTGATCTATGCATTCTCTGGATGTTAGTTGCTGAATTATTAATTGCTTCTTACAATTATATGGTTTAACGCTTGGATTTAAATTGCTGAAACATTTAAAAATCTTCTGCAATTAATTGGATATTGGTTTTGGATTTTAAATTGCTGTACTATCATTCATAGTCTGTAATTTACATGGTTTTTGTTTTAAGTTGTTGAAATACTAAATACTATTCTGCAACGATGTGGATGGTTGGTTTTGGACTATAAATTACGCGCTTATTATTTATGCCTTGTAATTTACCTGGATACGGAGGATTATATGCACGGGTATAGGACGGTGGTATAATAGGTATGGTTTAGCTTAAAATGCTAATTCCTGCCTTATGGATTTTAAATTGGTGAACAGTTTTACATGTTCTATCAGTTATATAGATTTTGTGGATTGTATGCACCGGTATGGGACGGTGGCATACTGGGGACAGACTGATTCAGAATACTCAGTCCTACCTATTTTGGGAAGAAGGGCACGAATTATAAAAACATAATTCTCCTTATATTTAAGTCTGTGCAGTTGAATAAACTGAACGACTTATTGGATTCCTTATATAAGTCTGTGCAGCTGAATAAGCTGAACGATTTATTGGAGTTCCTATGGATGGATTTGAATGGACTTTAAATATATATTTATGATACCATGAGATGAGCTTGAGTCTCAGACTCGTTGGTTAGGACGCGTATATGCAGTGGATGCGTAGTTAGCTATAGTAGGTTGAGCTATAATACTGAGATCAATGGTGATAACAGGTGAAATGGTGATATATATATATATATATATATATATACATAATTATATTAAATGGTAACATATATTATATGAATATATAATAATTTTTGAATATCATATACATATTTGTAAATTACAAAATTTACAAATTTAATCTCAATATAATTAACATGAAATATTAAAATTAAATTAAGGGTTGACATATTCAAAATTTTAAAAATAAAATTTATATTATGTAAATGCATAAAATTTAATTACATAATTTTCAATTAGCATAATTACATATTTTTCAAATAGCGTAATTGCATATTTTTATATTTCAACATTTAAAAAATGAATTCATATAGTATGTAAATTAATTTTTTTTTTCTTAAATAGTAAACTAAATATTCATATACAAGTCTAGTCAAATGGAAAAATATACAAAATATTATTAGTCCATTTACAAAAAAAAAAAAAAAAAAAAAAAAAAAAAAATTATTTTGGTCCATTCAAATTAGTTGGAAAGGGTAAATTTGTAATTTAAGCAGTTAAACTGTCATTTCTGAGTCAAATTGAGTACACCGCAGGCTTTGTTAGTATTAACGAGTTGTATTGTAGACACCACGGGCTAACAAGTTGTATCTAGATGTAATAAAGGCAAATTTTTAGAGACTGTCACTGTCATTCAACCTTTTTTTTCTTTTCCGTTTTTTTTTTTTTTTTTTTAAAGGAAGATACACCAAACTACAGCTTTGGTCCAAGGAAGGCATTTTGGTCTAAACTACAGCTTTGGTCCAAAGAAGGCATTTTGGTCCAAAGACATACTACGTATTGGGTAGGCCTTTATTTGATTTTTCCCATTATATTAATCTAACATTAGATTGAATTAATCTCATATTACATATTTAGTACTAAGAGTTTTGTGATTCAAATGAGACAATTAAATTTGGTTGCTATGTAAACTAATGAACTGAAACTATAAATTTTCATTAATCAATTTAAACTTATATAGAGTAAGTTTATTAATGAAACTACTTTACCTGTAAAGGGGACACGGCTTTATCACATAATTTCCTTATATAAATAATATACAAAAATTATAGATATATCAGATATACACACTAACAACAGTAACAATACGTAAAAACGTATAAATTATCTAAAATCCTATAATTCTCTTGAATTTATCTGATCGAATTTATTTCACCAATATCAGATCCAATTTAGATCTGTTCGCAGCCCTAAATCTTGAGGTAATGACCAATCGCTGTATATACAAATGTAGATGAATATATATATATATATATATGTATGTATGTATATATACAACCAACAGATAGAGTCGCTAAGACCAAGTAAGCTCACCAGCTAGTCAGCTTCTTTGATTCAACCCTCTGTGCATCGCCGCCGATCATCGCCGATCGCCGCCCTAGAACCGCCAGTTCAGGGGCAAGAGGGGTGCTGGGGGTGCGAAATTCGCCGCAGCCATGCCAGGCCCAGGTCCGCACATGCTCTATGCACTGGGCACGGGCCAAGCCCTGACGACCATGTCCAACGGCCGGTTCAGCCCTCAGCACTGCATCATCTACGCCCTCAATGCCTTCATGGGTCCGGACCTGGGCTCATTCTCCGAGTGGCTGACTTCGACCTTCGAGCTGGGTGATGATTTGGGGTCCCTTATTGAAGAGCTTATTCACCATCACTTGTACTACATCTTGATTCTTGGGTATCCTCTGTCCCTTTTTTACTGTTGGTTCTCTCGGGTTCTACTCCAAAAAGGGTTTCTTGATTCCTTTTCTGGGGTGAGTGTTTGAGCCACATGGATATGAGTATAGTATTGTTTGATTTGTTCCTGTATTGGTTTTGTTCATTCTTATCTGATTTCTTTGATTGGGCTTTTGAAATGATGAATTGGGTCTTTTGGGTTGTGTTATTTGAGCTAAATTTAGGAATATCTGGTTAGGATTTCATATTTGCTATTTGGAATGCGGTGTGGTCTGGTTAGGATCCCCTGAATTGGTTATTTGGACTATCTGAAAAACGAAATTTTTGTATTCCCTTGAATGGAGAAACAAGTGTTTTATATTTTGCTGTTCTTTATCTCGTGAAATTATAAAAAAAGTTTGGTAGGGGAGAAGCTGTTGATTTAAATTGGATGTAATAGATGGGGAGCCCTGTTTTGTTTCATAGGTCATTGTTTTGCTTAGGAATACATATGCATTTGAAGAACACAATTCCATTCCATTTGAACCTAGAACCTTGTGGACATTCCGTGGAAACTCAATTGTAAGATTTTTCCATTCCACAACATTTTGCTTCGGCAATGGAAATAGACTCGTTTGAAATGCAAGATAAACAAAAACATTAAGTGATACTACATGTTAATTCCACGGTATGTTTAACACACCTCCCTTAATAAAGAATCTTGAAGTTTATAGGCCATGTTATGCATTTTTTAACGTGTTCTCACTCGATGATTGAGTGCCTTGATTAATGATATACAATTGTGCCCACCGGTGACTGTTTTGCATCTAACTAGTCATTGACCGGGCATGATTAGATCATTTGGTTGCTCTGTAAGAATTCAGAGTATTAGATAATAAAATTTTTCATTATTGATGCTTTATTTGGTTAGTTCTCTACATGCATGCATTGGCATTGCTTGGGTCTTCCCCTAGGAGGATGAAGTTCATCCTCCCATTTGATGTGGTCTAATCAAATTAAAACACGTCCAAAAAACTTAAAGATGGGCATTACCTATTTTGTACGGGTTAAACCGTGTTTTTTTTCTTTCTTCTGAATCACAACTCCCATTTGTAAAACCCTAATTTTCGTTCTTCTCTTCCGTTAACCCGGCAATGTTTTGCATTTAGATTGTTCATATTCTTGAAGTAGGTGTATTCAAATTTTATATTTGCACGATCACTGCATCATCAATTATGTGAAAGACCTGATATTTTAGACCCCATTCAATGGAACATCCACCTAATTCATCAAACCTTTAACCAAAGAGATGCTGATTTGATTCTTCAAATCCCACTTAGGGAACAGGGTGGTGAAGACAAACTACTAACAAGGTCCTTTTCAGTTCGAACTTCGAAGTGCTTACAAATTAGCTATTGCTTTGACACCTCGAGAGTCTATTTCTTCTACAGCCCAAAGCGGTAATGGCTCAAGTCATTGTCCCAAATTTGTAAAAAAAAAAAAAAAAAATTCAAAGACACTCAATTGAGTTGTTTCATTTTGGAGTAGCATTTCGTTTTTGTTTTTGTTTTTCTCAGATGGAGAATTGCGTCGTGTGTTGAGAGAGAGGAAGAAAGTGAGAGGGGAAGAGAGAGAGAAAAGTGGACTCCTAAGAGAACAGAATCGTGATTCATGAAAAATAATATATATATGTATTTGACCCATAAAAAATGGATAATACCCATTTTTAAGCATTTAAAATTTTTTAGACATGTGTTTTAATTTCATTGGACCACATCAGTTGGAGGATGAACTTCATCCTCCTAGGGGAGGACCCAAGTATTGTCCGGCATTGTATGACACCCATTTTGTGCCATTTATTTGGCATTAATTCCTGAAAGCACACATGAGTGAAGGTATGAGATTACATCCTCTCTAAGACATCCTATTGTTTGGACATGTAGACTTGCTTGTGTAGTATCATTTTCCATGAAGAAAACTTAGTGGTTGGATTACTGTAAGGATTTGGTTTTGCCGGCACTTGAAATAGCATTTTCTTATTAGGTTCAATGAACCGTGGGAGGAAATTAATCTTTTAAAGATGGAACAGTTTAATAAAATATATATTTTGCTATTCCTCCAAAAGGATAATTAGAACAATTTTCTTGGGAATAAAAGTTTGAGGTATATTAATGACTCTAAAATCTGATCAGCTTTTTCATCAAGTCTGCTCTATTTTAGATATATTAATGACTCTTCTCGCTTTTGATTACCCATTAGTTTTGATTAGATTCTGAAGGTACCAATTAGTGTTTAGATTGATATGATGATGATAAGGGCTTGTGAGCTCTATCTTAGCCTCCACCTTTGGATCACTGAGAACCATTGTCCACCGTTAAACCAAAAAATCACTTCATTTGTCTATAGTTAGGAGCCCTGGGATTAATATCAACAATTTTAAGTACCCTCCTTTCTCTGCATCTGCACTTTGTTTCTTTGCACCTCCAAATCTTACATTATACATACATATATATCTATATATAATCACTTGATTCCCTTTATCCTTCATTCACCTATTGAGGCTAGGGAGAACTGGTTGTTCGTGTTCAAGTTTGTAATTGAGTCGGTGAAATCATATAATTGGTAAAATGAATCTCTGGAATTAAAGTCATGTGAAAGGTGTCCTGATGATCTTACAAGTAGACTTGTTTAGGAAACTCCATTGATGTTCTTCTGGATATGTTTATGTATATTGATTCTCTGTGGCTATGCCTGTCCCTCATGGCAGTGCCCTTAAGTGCTCTTTGCCCCTTCCCAAGATTATTTAAATTATGAAAAACTTCACTCTCTTGGGTTGGGTTGAGTGCAATAAAACTGAATATTTTCTCCAGAAAAAAAATTGATTCTTAAAACGACTCTCTCTCTCTCCCCTTATATATATATGTCTTCTAATTCTCTTGCACTAGATATGCATTAAATGGAATGGAAAGTCATCATAATATGAGGTAACCGCCCATTTCTTTGGTTCATCAAAGCATTGTAACAATTTTAGAGTTCGCTCATTCCTTATTAAATATATTAGGCCAACTCCTTTTAACTGACTAATGGAGCCTCTCCCCATGATGATTATGGCCTTAGGGTTATCGTTCTCATACAATGTAATAACACTTGTATGAAACTTTGATGAAAGTATGTTTTGTTGTCGGTAATATCTTGTTATTGCAATTCCTTTGTGTTACATTGAGTGAATATATTTTATATGGTATAATCCAAAGGTTTGTTTTGATTCATATTGTTTTTAGCATATTTTTAAAGGTATATCAGAAAGATTGATTATTGATAAATGTAGCACTCATTGATTGCTGGGTTTTATGATGCAGCTGCCCCTTACTAGGAGACAATGCTTCTTGTTGGTGTCGGCGGGTTCTTTAACACACTTTTTCTTAGATAACTTGTTTGAGGTAACATTTAGATCTTTGTATGCTGAAATTTTATTACTCATCCAAAATGGCATACCTAACTAGTATTTATTGACCTCAATAATTTTATTTGTTTTATGAATTTTTATATTGTGAAACTAAGAAAAACTAGAAGTGAGTTATTATTTGTTGGGGATGTTTCGAATTCTTATTGGGATAGGTTTTGAATTGTAGTGGTTTGAGAGTGCTTTATTAGACTTGCGCCCAAAGTAATTATACTTGAGCCCCAAGTAACTGTGTTCCTTGCCCAAAGACTTTGTATCACTTGTTCACCAAGCTAGGGTTGGGAACTCTCAATAAATAGAGAGGGAGTTGTGTGGAGAAGGCTGAGAAGAAAACAGAATCAAGGAGTGAGTGAAAAGAGAAGAGAGTAGGTGAGAGTAGAGAGATGCAGTAATTGGGTGGGCATTCTCTACAATTGAATATTCTCTTCTTGATTCATTATGGTGAAATTTCTTCTCTCCGTGGATGTAGGCCAGGTGGGGCTGAACCACGTTAATATGGTGTTATTATGTGTGCTTGTTCATGTCTTGCTTCCGCTGTGCCAAAATGAAGGGGTATAATTCCCAGCATTATTATATTTTATTTCACTAAAACTATGTAGGTATCTAAGGGTTAGGATTCTCGAGTTATTTGCACTTGGAGAATCCATAAGAAAAATGAAGAATGAGTTGCTTCAAGACAAATTAATTCCAATAGAATGGTTGTATTCAGCTTTTAAACAGTAACTTTTGTTGACCAAGTTGTTCAAAAGAAGTGCCCAATAAATGGAGAGAGTTTTGTGCTGCCTATAACATAAGAAAAAGAGAAATATACAGGTGTAGTCATAATCTTGGCATACAATGTATCAGGAAAATGCAACTTCCTGAGATAGTGGCTGAGTGCATAGGTTAGACCTCAATGGACTTCAGAAAGTTATTTTGGCTCATACAACGCATAATCATGGGATGCTTACATATTACAAATATAACAGGTGATTGATTGGGACTTTTGGAGAGGAAAAGATTTTTTATTGACAGCAAAATCACATTATCACCCAACTTTACTATTAAAAAAAAAAAAAAACATTATACAACCTTGGGTATCACAGTTTTTTTGTAAAAGAGTATAAAAAAGATCTATTGAAATGAGAAAAAAATATGCAGGGGTACTGCAATTTGTATGAATGTGATTACATGATCATATGTAAGCTACCATCCATAATTGATTTGATGAACTTCTTAGGAAGATGCTGAGAAAAAGGTTGTAAAATATGTTGTTGTTTGTTAAAATCTTAATTGCAGTTTGAGGAAACAATAGTCGTGGTGAACACTGATGTAGATCATGGTGAAATGCATTAGTATAATAAGGTTTCAAGATACACTGGATTGATGCATATTATTTGGAATGTTATTATATAAAATCCTGAGCGTATATAATTAGTGGATAAATGGCCAATAGAGAACTAAGGGGGTCTGGGGGTGGGGTTCATTCTGTTGTTTCAGTCATCCATGAGGAAAAAAGGATTGAAGTGTGGCTTGGCTACAGAATTAGTCATGTTGAGAGGTGCTTTTGACATGTGGCGTTGATTTGTGATGCTGATAAATTTGAAGGTAAGGAATACCCATTAGAAATGCAATGATAATGAAATGGGATTGTATTATTGTAGGCAGTCCACAATTGCGAATCAATGTGAAAGAATGTTGACCATAGTGTTTTCATATTGTGGACGGTGAAGTTATATATATTTACACTTACCAAAAAAAAGTTAAACTTGTATATATATATATATATTCTAAAGAACTTCATTAATATTATATTTTATTCTAAAGAACTTTATTTTATATGTACAACTACTCTTATTGTATTTTGTCATTACAATTATATTTTTATATTATAAAAGTGTCCATTGCATACTTAACTTGTGATGGCCATGTGTGTAATATTAATTCTCCAAAAAAATAACAATAATAATAAATAAATAAAGGATTGACATTTTAGGCTGTGTTCATTTATTTTCTTGATTGTCGGACATGCTTCCTCTTAAGAGGTTTTGTGCTACACAAGGCTTGTATTGGGAAGTCTTTGGGATGTGTCAATGAAGTTTCCAAACTAATATAATTTAGTTTTAGTTTATAGACACGTCAGCAGTGTTGGTGAAGTGTTGGTCTCCAAACAAACATGACATCTTTGTAGAATTCTCTGTGCTTCATGAGTGATTTCTTTCGTCAAAGCAGGCAAACAAGTTTCTTTCTTGCACAACTAACCTGTTTTTCACAATTGTGATTAATGATGTAAAATTTAGGAGCACTTACCTTGACAACGAATGATTTCACAGAGCTTTTCATGATGAAATTTAGTTAGGGAGTCATTAGGAACATATTGCTTCAAATACGCGAACCTCAATTCTAGACAAATGAGAAAATCTGAGCATCAGCCGAGACTATTAACCAAAATTTATTATATATATATATATTGTACACAATTCTTTATTCAAACACAATAGAAGTATAATATAAATTCAATTATAAGAGGAGGCCGTTGCTTGGTGAGTTGGTTCAATGGTAAAAAGTTCAAAATGTAAAGTTTGTAGTCACGGTTTGAAGTGTGAGTACCCAATCTTTGCCAAATGCTACCGAAACTTAGGTCTCCCTCCTATCATCGCCATTGCATCCTGTGTAGGCGGGATATACACTTGATAATCTACTTAATAATTTTGACAATGAAACACATTACTTTCCTACTGAATACAATACAGTAAATATTATTAATATGAATATGATATCTAACATTATACATAATATAGGAAATATACAAAAATCCTACCAAAAATATTATTTATGTGTATATGTATATATCAAATTAATTTTTGGCGTGGTGCAAGTAATAATTGATGTCTAACTGTATAAGGGTGCTCTCTAGCACTAGCAATGGACAGCAGTGTGTCATTTAGAAAGGCAAGGGTTGGCGACTCTTACCTTATTTTCCTTCTTTTATGGAATGCGGTTTGAGATTTGTCATCAAAAACCTTGCAAACAATAGCAGAGATGAATCAAGAAGTTGACGGGATCTGATATTATTGTCGAAATTTTCTCAATATGCCAAAACTATCAATGTTCCAAAAATGTGACAAATTGCTGAAATGATGTCACAGGGTAATATCTATGTCGAGCTCCATTAATTTCCAAATTAATGACCAATAAATTGTCTATATTCAGGAAAGTTGTTCCTTGTTAAAAAATTGCCACAAGAAGTAAAAGGCACTGACCACAACCTTTCTGTAAAAAACCCAAGTCATAAATTTTTTTGTTTTTTGGCTTCTTGATGTAATTTTCTTTGTCACTTGTTTCAAATTGGTGGACCATATATAATGTTCTAAATGTGCAGGAAAATGGTCAGTCTTCAATGTATACTTGGATATTGAGTACCGGTTGGTGGGACGGCCCTGCGCCTATTAACCCAGATGCAGTTGTTGTAGTTGGCATCCTGTGCGCTTGCTTGATTGGTGGTTTTGTTTACATAAACAGGTTTTTTCCGGAAGTTGCAAGCAAATTTTCATCTACTTCTATTTCAGGGGTAAGCGTAGTCCTTGACATATTTTGGTTTCCTTTTCATCTGTTTGCAGGGTGAATTCCTCGAAGTCCATTAGGAAAAAATCAAATGAGAGTATGAAACTTTTTTTGATCATTGCAAGCCTGTACTGTCTATGGTGCGCTAGCCAGATATACTTGGTAGATCCCCGTCGACCAGCAATTGGTGAAGAGGCTGATCTTGGAGTTCTTGTGTTTCTAGGCATTTATTTTTTTCTCCCTCACTGCTTGTGTATGATGTCCATGAACCCAAAAGATATTCCCGACATACCAGAGCATATCCCACTTCAACACCACCATTACAATGACTCGTGACACCTCAATAGCACAAGTTTGGTCTTCAAACTGCAGTAGATTCAGATATTGCTGTGAGCAGACATGTTTAATGAAGCATCAGTCCCAAGTAATATCCCGGCCTTGCGATTCACTGGGTATGGTCTCTAAATATCATTTTATTTTACACCAATCTCATCCATCTACAGATGGAGCTAGCAAATTGTGCCTGTAAGCTGTCTTAGCGCTTGCTGCTTTTAATATGGACGGATTGAAAATTTTACACGGTTTATATAGTTATGAAATCCCGTGGTCAAGAATAAGGACCTTGTTTTCCCCAGTTCTGTTACTTCTGTAAATACAAATGGAAATACAAGAAGGTGCATAAAACTCGGAAGGACGATTTGATTACTAAACTACTTGACCATTGAAGAACTTGTTTCTGTAGACTGTACTTGTATGCGTCTCCTAAGCTAATTGCAGGTTTGCATGTTATTTTTTGGAGGTTCGGATATGAATACCATGAGGCCTGAACTAGTTTTGAGGCTAAATGGAGCTTTAAATTCATCAATATCTCACAATCCTGTGCCTGTTTTAGTTTGTGTTTTTTTTATTTTATTATTACAGAGCATAAATTGAAAATACAACAATGTGGTTTGTTACAACCAGAAATCAAATACAATTGCTGAATCTTCATTTCGTGGCATTCGTACAAGTTCGTAGTCATATTTTGGAAGCTCTCATCGTCTTCATGAAAGCTGGCAGACAGAATGCAGCAATATGCATATGTAAAGCATGTTAATGTTGGGAAACGTGCAAGTTTTAAAAACTTTTCGAGGAATTTTGATTCATAGATCTTGATTCACCACATAGAGATAAGTTTTACGTAAAAATAAAAATATGATGTATCATTCAATTAACAGATTGAATACTTACATCAAAGGTCTGAGTAAACCTTTAAAACTTTCTTCTAAAGTGAATGTTCTCACTTATTGTAGATCCCTTAGCAAGATGCATTCTCCTTGGATCTCCATCTTCTTGGTAATTGTTTTGCCTTTAGGAATCACTCATATGCCTCCATGAATGACCTTGGAAAATTAGGCTTGTGGGAGCCTCCATTAGATGAGAACATAAACCCTAATTTTTTAGAGAGAGAAAATATATTCCTTTTTCCTTCTACTAAAAATCACCCTTAAAATATACATAGACCATGTATATTTATAGGCAACATAAAAATAAAGAAAAGGAAACAATAAATCCTTCTCCATCTCTAATTCATATGTCTCAAATCTAATATGATTCCAATATCAAGTTGGGCTATGAGTGAGAATCCATTGGGCCTATTATTTTATTGGCTACAATGAATTAATAATTGGCCCGAACCATGGACCTAATTCAATTAATTCATAAATTAATTTCTACTCCACTAAAAGAAATTAATTGAACTCCAATTAAATAATAAATAACCTCTAAGTCAATATTGCACTTTGACCCCTCTATGCATAATTAGTTATCGGATAAATAAAGCCATCAATCCGACTACTTAATTAATATATCTATTTTGGTACCTCTGATTATTTCTGGCTCGATCACAATAAAACATTTGTTTGACAAAAATAATAATTTAAATAAATAAATATATAATAAATCATTTTGTCTAAAAACACACGAAGGCCTTCGAATTTACTTTGTGATCAACCATAATCAATACAAAATAAATACAAGTAGCAATGATGCAAATATTAAAAATATAACCCTCTAACTATTAATTACATAATTACCCAAAGTGTCGGTCTAAGGATCCCGAAGAATCCGCCGAATAAATTAAAGTAATTATTAATTAATAAAAGAGTCTATAATTTTCTCATACTTAAGAGTCAAATGCCATGACGGTGATAGGGAGCAATTGCATACGACGGCTCCCGCAATATATCTCAACCTAACGCGGATCCAGTTCAAATCTTAATTAATTATGAATCCATCTATAATTACCGACTATGAACCATTTATGATTACTATTTATATATCATGCATTGATTGCCATCACAAACATATATATAAATATCTCTTGTAATCAAATGGACACTATCAATTCTATAATGAATCGAAATATAATACATTGAATTCACCAATTGTATAAAACATACATATTTCATAAACGTCAGGAATATATGTCACTTTAATCCAAACAGGAATTTGCTATGCCATGGCATATAAATCCCAACAGCTCCCACTTGCCCTCATAGCCAATTCAAATTGCACCTAACTCCAATGTTATCCAGATGATGATCAAAATTATTGATCAATAACACTTTTGATAATGGATCAACAAAGTTGTGTTCCAATGCAATGTTCTAGCCACAAGTACATTTTCCTCATAGCCAATTCAAATTGCATCTAACTCCAATCTTATCCAGGTGTTGATCAAAACTATTGATCGACGACACCTTTGTTAATGGATCAACAAAGTTGTGTTCCAATGCAATGTTCTAGCCACAAGTACATTTTCTTGCCGGACAATATCATGTAGAACATGATACTTCCTATTAGTGTATTTTGTTCATCTATGGAACCTTGGGTCATTGGTTTGGACTATTTCTGCACTATTGTCACAACATAGCTCAATAGGCAGGCTAGTATACTCCACAACCTCTAAATCAGTGAGATCAAACTAATAGGCTTCCTTTGCCGCCTTTAAGGCTGCAATATATTCCACATACAGGTTTGAGTCAGCAGTTGAAATCTACTTAACAATCTACCAACTGATCTCCCTTCCATTAAGTGAACATACACTAAGTCATGAACCTCATAGTATCTACTTCTGATTGAAAATCAGAACTAACATACCTGACTAGGACCATATCATCACATCCATAAATGAATATGATATCATTGGTTCTCCTTAGGTACTTAATGATATTTTTCACAATAAACCAGTTGTCAAGTCCAGTATTGGACTGATCTCTACTGACTATCCCTACTATGTAGCGGATGTCCTATTTGGTATAGACCATGGCATATATGAGATTCTCATATGCCGAAACATATTGTTCCAGTCTCATTTGCTCAATCTCCTTTGATAGTCTTGAAAAACTACTTACTAGAGAGAGCCATCCATATCAATAAAGCAAGAACTCATTCTTTGAGTTATGCATACCAAACCTGGTCAAAACTTTATCAATGTAGGATTATTAAGATAAGCCTATTTTCCTTTTAACCTGATCTTGCAAAAGCTTGATCCTAGGAATCTAGCTTACATCCTGAAAATCCTTTATTTAAAAGTAATTGAACAACTACCTCTTTATTGATGACAAAACTTCCACATCATTCTAAATGAGTAGGATGTCATCAATATATATAGAATTAGAAAAATAATGACATTCCCTTGTACACTCATGATTTATTCACTAAGAAATCTTCTGGTATCTTTTTGTAGATTAACTTGCCTTCCATAGGAATCACCCTACTAGAAAGTTCTACAAGATCCCAGAATTTATTAGAATACATAGATTCCAACTCTGATTTCATAGTAACTCACCAAAACGATCTGTATCCACATCGGTTCACACTTCCGTGTAGCTTACTGGGTCCAACTCATGTTTAACAGGGATGTCCATAATGGTCTCACCTAAAAACATGATTCTGTCGAATTGGATGATAATCCTCCCACTACATCAATGTACCGATGCAAGAATCTGTGTAGTAGATGATGCTAACGCATCAATAGGGTATTCATATATTATTCTCAATCTCTATAATAAGTGTGTTCACATGTGGTACATCTGGTACTCATACCAAATTCTCTAACATTATGCTACTAGGTATATGATTCATAATATGATTCTCCTATAGATAAACAGTGAGTGAAAACAATCAACTTTTATTTTTGAGATCATAAAATAATCCATCCTAGTGACATTTAGAGTAGCTATCAAATCTAGCATGCCTATGATCTGCTTCCAACTTACTTGTCCATATCAAGCGCACATGTGCAAGACTACCCCATATGTGCATATGATTCAAACTAATATTTAGTAAAAAACACAGCTCAACGGTATCCTTGACAGACTAAGATGGAATGCAGTTCATAATGCGCATCGATGTCATTAACGCTAAACTCTTAAATGAAAGAGATAATGTAGCATAGCTGATCATAGATCTAACCATATTAAGTGGAATTCTGTTATTCCTATTTGACACCTAAATACATTTAGCGTCAATTGCGGAAAACTGGTACATAATACCCTCATTGACCATATAGTCTTTGCAATATCCCAAGAAATACTCATATCATCGATCAGATCGAAATGTCTTGATAAGTTTACCTAATATGTGTTCCACATCAGTCTTAACCTTCTCAGAAAATACCAAGAGTTTAAGACTTGTGTTGCATCAGATAAACTTATCCAAAACGTGAGTAATCTTGCTTGGATGTTCATAAGACCACACGTGTCAGTGTGTACCGACTCCAATTGTCCTTTATGTCTATTTCATCTGGCTGATTAAGCCCTAAGAGTTATCTATCCTTCAAAACAGGGTTCACAAGTTTGGTTTAGGCTCCCTTGCCTCACTAGGTAATTAACCTTCTTTGACCAATCTTTGAATCTTATTTTGATTGATAACAACCAAAAAATAGACATTAAAAATACAATGAGTCAGGAATAACAAATTTTCTCTTAACATTCAATCTAGAAGATGCAACATTAATTTCTACATCCTGCAAATCTTAAGAGTTTGTGATTATAGTATATTAACCATCTTTCAATGCACCAGAAGCAATCGCATATCTATTCAATTTTATAAAACCAGTTTTATAAAATAACAACACAGTTTTTATAAACTAAAAGTGAAATAAGAATGAGATTACGTTTCACTTCTGTGCATAAAGATAGTTCTCTAATACTAATATCTTCATACTCTCTAATTTCAAATGTAATACTCCCACTGACTTAACTACAACCTTGGCATCAGGTCAAAAGATAAATATATATCCATATCATCAAGGCTTCTGGATTCCTGAAATCCTTACAATAAATTGCAAACATGTTTAGTGGCTCCAGAATCTATCCATCAGGAATTAATAGACGCAACCACATAACATGGCTCAATGATTAAATATATATTTTCCTATGCCACGTCATTGCTTAAACAGTTCGTCCTTTAGTGTTTTAGTTAGCGACAAAAGAAACAGTTTTCTTCGCCCTCAACATACACTGCCTTATTCCCTTTAACCTTTTTGAATACCCATGTTTTGTGCTAGTCTAGTCCTATTATCATCCTTCTTCTTTGCTTTGCCCGTCCACTTGGGTCTAGAAGAAGATGGTATAGACTAGGTTAGATTGATAGGAACGCCTATACTCTTGATTATCCCTTCATCTGTTACCAATTCTATAAGAATATCAGCGAGTGTGAACTCAAACTGATTCCTTATTTAGTTTACTCTAACAGAATTGAATGAGTTTGGTAACAAGGTAATAATCATGTCAACTTGAAACTTACCACTCAAGTCAGCCCTTTTGATCTCCAGCTAATTTTTAAATAATAAACAATCATTTTCCAAAAT